ATCCATTAGCAGAAATAGAAGGGCTGCACAACTAGTCCCAAGAAATCAGGACAGGTACAAGAACATACCACTGAAAACTGAAACATTCCAGCTGCTGCATAGGACCTCCCAAAGCACTTCACAAGAACTCTGGTGAGTTTCGGTTTCCGAAGTTCCTTTTTAGCCCTTTTAACTTCAATCTCCCAGCATCTACAAGGACAAATATGCACAGGTTGACATAATACTCCAAGACTGGCTAATAAAAGTACTATGTCCGAGGAGAAATAATATCCAAGGCAACAGCATCTCCAGATTTAACTGCAACAACCCCAGGAGAACACACAAGGGTTAAGAGGTCAACGAAGGATCCAAATGATGTCTGTCTCAATCCCACAAAGGAGCAGAGTAAGAGTAACTTTAATTAAACAGCTCTTTACATGGCATCATCACCTGAAATTCCTTAATGGTTCACTGTCACATCAGAAAACTGTAACTGTTTAACAGACCGTTAGTTTTTTGGTTCGACTTTGTTTTTGTCTATTAAACTTCACATGAACATTAAAAGAAAACATTAACATGACTTTGGAGCATTTACTTTGAGGGAAACAGAGGAATTCCACATTTAAGTTATAAAAATACATGTTCATCTTTACTTCTACTAAAACACATGCGTGTCTGAGGTTACAGATTCATGTTTGGATGCGCAATTTCTGAGTGGAATGTACCTCTGCACCTCCTCTCCCAGCGTTTCCGAACGATCCTCTGGAAGAATGCTGTACATGTTGCTTTCATCCAGCGTCTGTTTGCGGCCAAGGTGCAGCAGCGGGGTTAACCAGCTGAAACAGTGGTTCACTGAATCACTACGAAAGCTCATGTCATTCTGATGGAGGACAAACAACACTTGGCCTATGGGCATCGGTCGTTACTCAGATTCTCACAAAGTAAGATCAAGATGACATATAATTGTCTGAGAAAAAAAAAATCTTAGAATCATAACCTTGCACTTTTAACATTTAAAAATCACAACTGCCTAAAGAAATCATTGCATCCATCCATCCATCCATTATCAATACCGCCTATTCCCTCATGGGGTCGCGGGGAGAAATCATTGCATGTAAGTAAATTACAAACTGCTTAAATCAGAAAGAAGTCTGAAGGACGGAGGTTTCACTTCACAAAAGACCTATACTTCCGTATAAACACTAACCAGTCCCCAAAAGTTAGTTTCCCTTTGGAACTGTAATGTATCAAAACTATTATGCATTTCACTTAAAGTGCTGACATCCAAGCCTGTAAACCACTCGTTTCTCCCCTCAGGGCAAACAGGTTGGTGAGTTTCAGGAGATTCATGAGATTGTGTTTGAGTCAGCGTATCAGCTATAAATTTATCCAAAATACAAACTCTGATTTGTGGGGAAAAGAAAGAAAAAAATAAGGTGTCTTTCCCAAGTTGTAAAAATCAATAAATAAAACATGCAGGAATCTTATTAGCCCATTATTAAGAAGGACATTATGTAAAAGTATATTTCTTTCTTTAAAAAAAAGCACCTCCAAAAAGAAAGTTCATTGAGCCACTCTTTCAGAAATACTTGCATAAAGGACATGTTATGCAAGACACTTAAACTGGTTCTAATTTCTGGGCTACAGCCAAAAGTGGGTAGAAAAAAAGAGCTACATTCTAAAAAGCACAACATGTGTAATTTGTTTTGTTTTTTTTGCATTTTAGGAGAGAATGTCTTCCAGATTTCCCTCATACTGGCAGATAAATGCATTCTTCTGCTCGGCTGCTGTGCACTGGGACGTGGATGGTCCAAACAGTTATTTGATCAGGACTTGTTTTTGCATGCGTATTAAATAGTAAATAAATGGGATTAAATAACTTCCCCCTCAGACTCATTGCATGCTGTGAAATGAGCGCAGTGAGATCCACTCACCATAGAAAAGCCTGAGAAAAAAGCCCCGCACTTCGCAGTGGGTTCTGCTTCCCTCGCGTACTAGTCGCCTCCATGGTTGTGCATCAGTCCAACAGGTTGCTCTCCCGCCCCAAAGCAAAGAGTCGGAGGACAGCTGTGTCAGCACTTACTATTCCAACGAGCCTTGTCGAGTTTGCTCAATTTTCAAACCACCTTAATTCATCCTTTTTTTCAAAGGATTATATTAGGATACTGAACGCTCAGGCGCGTTTACGTTAGATAACCTTTAGGGGCTTGTGTAATACTGACATGACTCCAGAGGGACTTGGCTGTCTCCAGCTGGCTTTTTGGAACTTATGATTGTGGTCCTGATCCAGCGCTCCTCGTCAATAATGGCCAGCAAAATTGCAATTTAAATTTTTGACCTGTTTTCTGTTTGTTTGTCATTTAAAATCCCACATTTCTGAATGCAGCGTCGTTCCTGCTTTCGTCCAGTGAGAAAAACCCATCGCGCGTCTGTCCCACCGATGGTGTCCGTGTGGTGTAAAGGTCAGAATCCGTCGCTACGGAAGTTTCACTTTATATTTTTTACCTCCCCAACTATCCAGGAGTCCACCCACAAGTGGCAAGCAACCGCGCTTCCCACGCCCATCTGAAAAATGGTTTGTGGGAGATGTTTCTGCAGGAACGACTGTCTCCCATTTAAAAAACTAACTGCAGTCAGACGATAACTTGTAACATTAACTGCGAGGGCCAAAGGGGATCAGGTTAACGGGCAGCCTACGCTCAGAACACACGCATAGCTGCGATTAACACCCTCCTGTTGGCGGAACAGCACCGCATGGAGTCCTGTGTCCTGCCACAGCCCTCATGTCAACAGGTTCTTTAATAGAACTGGATGACATAATGCCGATCGATTCAAAGCCAGCAGCTTTAGAAATTTGCCCAGGTTAAAAGAAAACATTTGGGATGTAATAAACATGAGTGTTTGTCAGACACAAACACGTGGAGAGTGAGCTCGTTTTTGACACTGCATTTTCACAACGGCGCCAGCAGAGGGCGCTCAAAGCGCGCTATCATCTGTGCGCAACAGCCCGAGAAAAACATCTTACAAGCGAGGGATTTAATCAAATCTCACAATTACAGTACATCAGAAAAATAACAATCAAATAGAGTAACATCTTGAACACTGCATCTCGTTGGTGCAGAGATGAGCTGTCGTCTTGAATATCTACAGTGTCTTGCCAACATTAAAACTTAAATACTCTTAAATTTGTGCCAAAACCAACTTTGTTATATAGTGCAAGTTTCTGTGAAAACGACTACTTTTTTTTTTTTTTAAACAACGTGTTTACCTCAAGTTGCCATCACTGAGGACTCCTTGTGTACAGGCCCCTCTGCATATGAGCAGTCGTGGCTGCATCCCAGGCTCCAGCTGTTTAGCCACATCTCCTTTTTTCACCAGGGGCCAAAGCTGTTTGACCTAGTTGCTGACAAGCCTGAGAGGCAGAGTCAGCATCAAATTGAAAGTGGCAGACATATTTGTGCCGAGTAAAAAAAGAAAAAAATAAAGCTGTTTCCCAACCGGAGACGCCAATTTAGAAGAGAACACATGTCTGTGCATGGACCACTGATTTGAATGCGCAACACAAAGTCCTGAGAGCAACTGAAGAATTTCATGTATTACAGTGAAAGCCTCCAACACCCTAAAATGAACTGCACCACTAATTTTCCCCACTCAAAATATATCAACAAAAAAAACAAACTCGGTGTACAAACATTAACAATCCAGAACAGGAACTTTGAGAAAGCAAAAACATAATATTTACCATTTTGTAGATTTAATATTATATTCACACATTATACAGATTTGAATAATTTAAAAGCAACAGGATTAGCTTCTTAAAGTGTTTTGATGGTCTACATCACCAACAGAAATCTTGGCGTCGGCGGCTTTCTGTTCAGACAGACCAGGAGTCCAGGCAAAGCGGGGCTACTGCTAGTCCCGCCGTCATGTCCAGCACAGTGGAGGAAAAACGGCAGCTACTCTCACTGGCTGCCTCAGTCTTTGTCGCCCTCCTTATTCTTTGGTAAACTCAGCAGTTCCTGGATCCTCTGCATGTCTTTTTGGGTTTCTTCTGCCCGAGAACCAACATTCAGGTTGTCAATCAATTCATCAGTCATCTGCAGACGTGCCGTCCTTATCATTGGAGCAAAGGAGAGTTGCAGGTCAACATCAAAATCCTGATGATAGCTCATATATTTCTTATGCAATGCACATTAACGGGCACCATCCCGTGGAAGTGTGACACCTTTTAGAGGCGGTGGGTGGGGACAGGTGGGTGAAAGTCAGTCAGTGTCTTCTTGGTGAAGACATGGCTCATTGTTTTTATATCAAAATAAAGAAAATGAGCCCCCCCACCACAACAGCTGAGGACAGAGAGGTCTTTAAAAGAGGGACATACACCAGGCCTTGGTGCAACTCAGAGATACTATACCAACTGAGCTCATCTTAATGAAGCTCTGCAGACATGTACACAGCCTTCTGGTTACTTTCGAAGGGAGTTTCCAAGGGATTTGTGACCTTTCATTTTACCATCAATCCACAGACACCATCTTACCATTCTGCAAGCTTGAGCTCGTACAGCTCTCGGCGCTCTCTCCTCCTTCTCTCTCGAAAGCTCTCGCCTGTCAGGGACTGCAAACCGATGACCAAACCCCCTACAGGAATCCTGATGGGAGGTGCGTTCATGAAGAAATAAAAAAATTAAATAAAAAGTCAGGACTGATACGGCCAAAAACCAAAACAAAACATTCTATTCCAGCTTAGTACATTAGTCAAAATGGTGTGGTTCACTGAATAAATAAATAAATGTCAACATGTGGAAACGCAGTACCAACATCGGGATCTTCAACCCTCATGGGAACGTAAAATATTTTCCCACTGCATCATGATTAATTTGTTTTTGTTTTTTAATCATGCCATCACATGTACACTCTGCTAAGGCAGCTACTGGCCTACTCCTTAAAACATGTCCTCTTATAAAGATGAAAATTCAGATCTTGTAACCCTGACGTACAACAGTTGTGAGGTGGTGCTAGCTTTGCCATCCGCTGAATCCATCACGATTCCACCTCACCAAGTCTGCCCCATCTGCCCCTGGCAGGGGGCTTTCGGACTCATGTGTTCGAGGTGGGTTGCTACTCGGGTGCACATGAGGGGGGGGGGCAGCAGTAATGATAAGAACGCCGGTATGAGAAGTAACTTTTTCTGTAGCAAGACGGAGCTACTGACCACAGAAACAATCCATCTTGAAAGCCCTTCTGCACTGTTATGCAATAAAAAAAAGATTATACTCAGTTTCCATGTCACACTCTGCTTGTGGGAAGTCAGACCATAGTAGATAAAGATGAAGGCATAGGTATCGTTGATGCTAAAATTGGTCGATGAGGGAATCATGCCTTTGCCAACCTCTTGGCTTTAGTATCCAAAATACGCCCCACTCTGGTGCACATGAGTCCCTCTGGCACAGAACAGAATGGGAAATGGGCTGCAGCTGGGCAGCAGAGGGTCGCTGGGAAGGGCGCAGCTGGGTGCCAGAGTGCTCACTGATCCCAAGCACATTGCCAACATGCACACGAGCGTGACCGAATATGCTCAACTTTAAAATCATTAAGGTGCGGCTGCATTAGACGCCGTGAAGCCACTGACTGCTCGTTATAATTCAGAGGGTTTTAGTAGAAATGAGAGGGCAAACCTTACCCCAGGACTGCTCCAATGACCGAGCCCGCCACCAGTCCTCTCAGGCCCAGATTCAGTCTGAAAAGCCCTACAGTCACAGCTGTTCAAACACAGAGTTTCAATCAGAGCTGTGTGCCGGAATACACACTGTAAATGTTTGGTTAAAGGGACAGGATGCCGCTTCGTTACTATCATGGTGTGGTTTCATTCATTCATTAGCCTTCTGAGAAAGGAAACATTGCTCGTAATACAGGTTTACTTTTTTTTTTCTAATTCAAAAGTAAACACAAATTTTTAAAAATCTAAATGAAACAGGTTACTGATATCTCTTAAGATAGATCCGATTATGAAGCAGCACAGAGCTCACCTCCGGCTGCGATGTGATTGCTCAGGGCGTCTTTGTCCCTGTACACAGACAGCCCCGTGTTGACGGAGCTATCAAGAGACAATCGAGCACGCAGTCAAAGACATACCGAAAGCAAAGACATGAAGATGAATAAAAAAGAAAAAAAAACATCAATCAAATCTACACATTTGTGGAGGAAAAATGCTTTCCTACTCCAATTAACACTGAAAGTCTAAAATGTTAAAAATAAAAAAAGACAAAGATTTGGAACAAAATATAAATACTGCAAAAGAAATGACTTAAGTCAGTTTCTATATAGTCATTTATATTCAGTAGAACTTATCAAATACAAAACCCTTTCCCACCTCTTACCTGAACAGTGTAACTATCAAAGACACTCTCCAGCTCCATCTCCATCCGTATCGCACAAAACCCCGTATGGCGGCATTGTGAGCCGAGCGCTGATGGGACACACCACAAATCATAACAGGCATTTTACAAATAATTCCTCTAACAATTTACACTGTGTTGCAGCATCAACCTGAAAATTACTAATTTAAATTTTTTCTTTTTTTAAAAATCAGATGAAACAGCCAAAGCCAGCTCCTAAAGTGCTCAAGCATTTCTGATTAGTTGACATGCTTTTATTTTCATTAAAGAAATCATAAAACACTTAAAACAACAAATAGGAGCTAAATAAGCTTTTTAAATCAAAATCAAGCAGGCATTAAAAATAAACCTGCTGATTACTGAAGACACAGGCCTGCATTGTTGCTTAAAAATAATATTTAGAGCAATGGCTTTTGTCTGGAACAACTGGTAAATGAAATGTATTAATCTGCCCCAAAAAAGCAAAACAACCCATTTCCCAGTTCTACATTTTTTAACGTTTTTCAGTCTTCTGTTAATCTGTGATGCAGAGCTCCTCTGTAGAGACTTGTAAAATAACACATGATTAATAAAAGTAGAGATTTCACTTACCACAGCTTCCACGCGATTCGTGTACACTTCCGCCTGGCTGACTTGGATGTATCTCAGCCTAGCCGAGCGTGCAGCTGGCATGCCCCCGTAGACAAACCCTACGAATGCGCCCGTAACGCCGCATTTCATCACATTGGTGAGTTCCTCTGGGTATTTCTGCATTTCACTGAGGGAAAGCAAGCAAGTTCCATCGGAGAACCAGAGACGTGCATTAACTCAACGTGTTACGACAAGGGAAATGTATTACACAAAAATAACTAAAGATCGCCCTAGTAAACACAAAGTTTAACATTGATGTTAACTTCTTATCAAACGTTATCCTACAAAAGAAAGAAAAGAAAAAACACGTGCAGTTAAAAGGTAACGCCTGAAAGATGCACAATACAATTTTTAATACTTTAACACAATATCTATAATAAAAGGCTGTGTTTAGAGCACCTTCTGTGGTTTCCCTTCAAATCTACCTGTGCATCAGCCTGGTCTATACAACAGAGTTTTATGTGAGTGCAATGCACACCTACAAAAGACTGCATAACCCCAAATTAAACCACATGAAAAACGAATTAATCTACCAGTTATATGAATGAAAGCAAAGGAACTGCTGGGTACAGACTGTGAGCCAACACCTGTCAAGCAAAGCTTTTTTTGACCAGCTATTTTAAACAGTTTGAGATACAGTTTTTAGATAAAAAAAAAAGATAAAGATAGGAACCAACTCTCTATCAAACAAGTCCTTGATGCGCTCCCATCCTGTGTCTGGAAATTCTGGCTTGCCTATGTTCCTTGGCAGGGTGCTGGACAGAGACAGGGGTGAAGGAGCGGGACTGGTAGAGGAGGACAACATCTGTGGGGCCCGGGCAGCAGCCTCGTCAGCTGCATAGACCCTGGGGAGCAGAAAGCAGAAGAAACGAGGCCCGGAGCTCTGGAGGAGGCCCTGCAGTAGGCCGGTGTTCATCGTGCCCCGGGGGGCTAAATCTGCCCGGCGTCTGTCCGGGCCGAAGCTCGCGGTGCACCGCCCGGGATGCATCACGCTTCAGCGGGCGATGGGCTGCAGGAGGGAGGCAGACACACACATGGCTGAGGGTGGAGACTTGGCTGCACTTGCCATCGTAAACTTCGCACAACAAATAACCTCGAGGCAAATGGGATCGTGGCGGGGTTACACTCGACAGCTGTTTCATGTCACGGCCCCGTTTAAACCCACACCGGGCAGACAAGACGATGTCTTAGTGGACAAACGTTGCTTCCTAAAAGAATAACTCATACATTGCTTTTAAGTGGCACAGTTTCGGCCCAAAAGTATTTTCTCAAACAAGTCAGTGAGTTAAATTGTTATTTACTGCTTGCAAATCTTTTCGACATCGAATAAAACTGCTAGTAAAACGTTGACTTTAATTACCTTAATGCCCCACACCTGCTGAGCACCTTCTCTGACTGTAAGGCTAGGCTAACGCTACAAGATACGCTTTTTGTAGGATGAAAAATACATTAAATGCACTAAAAACAGAACAAAACACAAAAGCGTGTTTTTGTTTTGTTTTGCCTGTTACAGGACTAAAACGGCTCAAAAGTCACAGATACATAACACGAAGGTTGGTTAGCTTATGTTTAGCTTCTCGTTTCCACGTTAAAAAGAAGCTTACCAGCAGCAGTCAAGAGGAGAACCCGTTCCGACAAGCGGCGGCGTCCGGTTAGTGCAAATATAGGGAACTTTTTATATTCAGAACTGTCCTTCGGCTGCCCATTTAGCTGTCCCTGACATGCCGACAGTCGGACTGCAGCGGCGGGACAACCTCTGACCCCACCAACTCTGATCCAGTCAAGCTAGCGCCGCCTGCCACCGGAGGACCGACGGACTGCCGCGGTTAGCAGGGTCAGACAGCCTGAGAAACGCTTCTCTTTGTATTATTTCAAATATGTTTATTGGTCGGCGCTATATATATAGATATATAGACACACACATGTATTCACAGCTGATGACAAACCTTTTTAGCAAGATCAGGACACTAATAAAAAGTGAAAAAATATGAGTGAATACTACAACATATTCAACTCTAATACCACATCAATGATGTCACTTACTCCAAAAGAGCAAGAGTGAATTATTAAAAGATGAAAGCATTAAAAGACTTAGATATATGACATCAAGCTGTTTAAACGTTGTTGGTATAGCTAGTACTAGTACAATCTCCTGGAGCTGAACAGTAGAGGGCAGTGCAATAAAACCCATCCCTTGAAAGTCTTGTAGGTCCATCAGAAACCTAAAATCATGAAGCTCAACAGCCAAAACAAAGTAATGAAGTGTCACTTGCAGCACTCACACAGCATGTGCACCATGCACGCAGGCTCTCTCACTCATACTCTACCTCCAAACAGGATCGACTGCGTTTCAATTAGATTTTGGTGAAAGATTGGTTTGAAATGATATAACAAGTGTCTATTAACATCAAACACCAAAATCTAAGAAACTAGAGTGTCATATAGTTGAAAAAAAAACAACACATTTTCCTATTCAGTCCCATTACAGGCAACAAATTAGATACAATAACTGTGACAATGAAGTTCTACAATCCATGAAATATTGCTTCAGTTCAATTCTGTATCAAATAAGAAAAAGAAAAAAAAGACATTGTTTGCACAATGCATGTTGATTAAAAGAAAGATTTAAACAACTCTATCCAGAAGAATAAATGCCTAAATACCCTGATATTACAGGTGGAGTATTGAAATCCTTGTCGACTACACTTCCCATGATGCAAGTTAAAGGCCTATTTTCCCCGCTTCCAACAGCCATTAGTAATGTCAATTTCTTTTAAACTTCACAGCCCAAGCTCGCTGAAAACGTTCTCTCCCTCTGGAGTCGATATTATACAAGGCTGAGCATTCTCTAGAGAGCTTGACTTAAATTCTACGAGCCATTTTACGTTGGGTATTAAACATAAGACGACTGAGATGGATAGGTGGGAATGGGGCTGATTGGTTGGACCAACCAGGAATGTTTGGCACTTCAAGCCCCAACCTAAATGTTACAGGTTATCTCTCCTGATTGGGCCGTTTAGACCAACCTTATAAACGAGGCAATGGAGGGAGTCGAGGAAACGGGAAAAGGTTCCTGAGGTCAAAATGCACAAAAACATTTGATTCCAATCATCACTTTTTTTCTTTTTTTTTTTAGACAAGGAAAACCAACTGTTACATTATTTATATCGAGTCTATTCTCATTATAGCTGCCCTGGTTCTGCAAAGGCTCTTCCTCATAGCTCTGTTCTGCTGGATTTGAGGACAATCTCGTTGTAGTTGCTCTTCCTTTTAGGTTTGTAGGTGAGAAGCTGGCTGAACTCCCTCAGGAGTCTCTCCCAGTAGCAGGAGACGTCTTCCATTCGGAGGTGCTCCAGGATGAATTCCTTACCCCTTGTGTGTAGAAAGGCAGGCAGGGAGAGAGTGAAATCATGCAAAGAGCAGAGCAACGACATTAAAATTCACGCCTAAAAATGAAAACAAGAAGGAGAAAATATAATTAAGTTACCTCGCGGCGATCTCCTGTGCGACTGCGTCGTTCTCTCTGACAAACTGCAAAAGCTCCCTGAAGACACATAGCATATTAATGTTCATGGTGCACACAAAACAAGAACCTGGGGGGATCCATTTTTAAAAAGGGACAGATTTGTTTTCAAAAGCTGTTACTGTTGCCCAGCATGCCTTGACGAGAGCACGTGAAACCTGCAGGAGGTACCTGACATCTGAGAGATCCTGCTGTACCGGGATGTAGTGGACCCAGGGCTTGAGCTGAGGGTAAAAAAACTCCTGCCACTCGTCCCCCACGTGGAAGACCAGGGAGCCGCAGAGGAACAGATGCTTGAAGCGAAAGCTTGCTGCCACACCCCGGAAGTTAAATAAGTACCTAAGGGAGGGGGGGAGGTACAATTCAAACGTTTCTGAGGCGCTTCATATGGGAATTTGTCAGTAAATCTATCAGGTGCAAAAAAAAAAAAAAAGCTCTGCTTACTTGTATTTGCAGTGATTGACTAAGGGGATCTCTTTAGCTGGGGGTCTCCCAAGGGTATCCTAATAATAGATAAACATGAAATAACCTTTAGCAGTTTCATATTTAAGTTTAAAAAAAACACGAGTAAGAACTGGTATAAAATTTGTGGAATTTTCAGACGTGTTTATCCTTTTTGCTAACCCCTAATCCAAACTCCCAAACAATACAAATGGCAGGGTGAACAGAGTGACTGACCCTCTCTGATTTCCAGGCCTGGTTCTTGGTGTACTCTGCATCCACCAGTTCTGGATCTTCTCTGGACAGGAGGATCAAGGGATCGCGCTCTGAGCTGGTTCTACCAGGTAAAAGTAGTTTTTAAAAACAGTAATGGGCTTAAAACGACTCCAATGGGAGGAAAGAGGATTAAAAATTGTGATATTATTCAGATCATATTAATCATGTGGTAATAATGTTCAAACAATTGTCCCAACAGTGGTTTGCTGCTGTGGGTCACAAATATTTACCTCATATAAGACTGATCTCAGAAGATAACAAATAATGGAGGAGAAAATGTACCGTCCGTTCATATGACCCACCTGGAGCCTCTAAAGAACCCTTTGGACTCTTTCTTGTGCCACGGCCATTGAGCTGCAGACCTAACAAAAATACAGGAAGATATCATATATGGCATTAAAGATATATATATATATATTTTTAATTATTTTAAAAATGTTAGTGTTTCAATTTACTTTGTCATATCATCCCTCATCAAATCCCATCTTCCCAGCCCGGTGGGATAAATGGGCCACACGGCGGGTCCACCTTCCCAAAATGTCCACGCTGGGTACATGATGTCTTTATAATCTGAAGTCTGCAGAAGGCAAACACAAACGCACACACGTGTAAGAAAAAAAACAAAAACCAAAAAACGTAACTTAATGGTCATTCAGTGTTTCATATCTCACTGCCAACAGTCTGACCTTACTGAAAGAGAAGATGGGCAGCGTCGGTTTGGCCCAGTTGGGCACTTGAGGGTAATCCCTGACATTTACCACCACCTCCAAGTCGGGTAGCCGGTCGATCACCTCCAGTATGAAATGTTCCACTCCGCTGCACCTGCAAACAGTTCCCCCCCCAGTCAGGCAGCGCAAACTAACCAGTGTGAACAAACAGCAGAAACATCTTCTGCCTTACCTTGCGGGGAACATGCAGCTGTGCTCTCTGTAAAGCTTGTGTCCAATGACCTGGTAGTGGGTGCCCACCCCCTTCTGAACAGCAGCAGCCATGACAGTCTCTGAAACACCCCCTTTAAAGGGCTGCAAGTCATCTTGAAGGACGCTGAAACAGAAATCAGAAAGGGAATAATGAAATGATTTCTTTAAGGCTTATCTAAAGTATCCAGAACACACGTGTATACAGGATTTCCTGAGTTGGACCCTGTCCTTGGATTGCATTCAGGCATGAACTAGTTTATGCTCACCTGAGATGGCAGCTGCAGTTGACAGGGTTGCATGGGATGTATCCTTTAATAGCTTCAGAGATCTTTTCTCGAATTTTTTGCCACTGTTTGCCTGCAAGGACACGCAACAATTAGACCTAAAATGATTCCAACCCCAGCAAACGTTTAAACTGACTGTGGCATTTGACCATCATGGTTCAATTCTGGCTCAAAATGCAATCAAATAAAGTAGCTAGAGACCATAAAAAAAGCGCAGTCTTTCTCTCCTAATTCACAGCACTGCATTTATTTGCAACCGCAACACTGACGTCATTTTGTAAGGTTTGCAAACGTGCTTTTGGCACAAGTATTAAAAGTTTTGAAGGCGCCCACGTGACTCCGTGGTTCCCTTCCCATTATAAATGGGATCTAGATGTTAGGATGCTGACTTGGTCATGTCAAAACACAGTCAATGCTCCGGCCTTTTAAACTATTTTGGGAAATACTTTACAGAACTGCTTTGTTTTGAAAGCGAAATCTTTGCCCAAAGCAAATTAAAATGTGTTCCTTTTCTTCAATCGGAACAAAATCTCCTTTCTGTACGACAGAAGCCTGTTAAGAGCCTTAATGCACCGAAAATTAATCCCAGCGCGACAACTGTTGTCTTACACATTCACAGGCGACAAACGAGACCACTTTCACCGGCAAAACACGCATACCTAAAGGTTAAACTTATGGTTCTGCTGGAGTTTACTTTCGGGAAAGTTAGCTAACTCGCGACCCCATTTCCAAAAGTTGTTCCGATGAGGGGAGCCAGGTCTCACTACGCCTTTGTACACATCCCTGAACAGAGAAATGGTTTGAAAATGCGTTACCTGCCGCATCAACGGAATTCAAATCACAGACTTGTAACAGAATTACAAAGCTCCACAGCCACGGCCGCTCCATTTTCCCCCTATCTCCCAGCTTTGTCTTTGGTGGAGAACAAAGCGGAGATCTTTGATCTACTACTTCTGCCTGAATCCGGCCATTACGGTAATACGCGCGATCATTTGCCCCCCACTTTTACTAGCAAGCCAACGTAATGCTTAGACCAAAGGCACATTCAATTTTGACATTTTAGTTTTTATTACAACCACAGTTAAAGAATTGCAAATGCATTCTTAATTTATGGTACAGATTATTATTTCAATACAAAAATTATCATTGACTTCTGTCATTTTTGTCCATAATTTAGAGATTTATCAATGACCACTCTTCTAGAAAGGTGATAAAAAGAAATATGTCAGTGTGTGGTCCTGAGATGGACTAATGACCTGTCCAGGGTGCACCCCGCCCACTGTCAGCAGGGATAGGCTCCAACCCTCCCAAAAAATGAGGAATAAGTAGTTCAGATGATGAATGGGTGGATGGATAGATAGCTACCTCAAGAATGCTCGCTCTTTAAATGTTCCGAATACACTGAATCCCACTGGGAGGAAGAGAAAAGGAGGAGAAAAGAAACCCCCCTGTGATTTAGGCTTTAAGAAGACGGAGAGAGAAATAGATTGAGGACAGGTGAAAAGGGAGAGCCATTACAAGAGACTAATATAGACAAGTAGACAGAATGAAGGGATGAAATATTAGAGGTTATATTTTACATTTGATATCAAGGTAATCTTTATCAAATCAGTGGATGTATTTCAGCTCCTGCGTGTATCTTTCAAAGTTTGGATTTCTTTGAGACGGCCTTTTTGGCTTGCAAACGTCTCCACAGCTGAGCAACAATGCAGCAAATGTGGCTTTCTCTTCTGCCTGGCCTGTGCCTTCCCCTGGTCTTGCTCTGCAGCGCAGAGGAGGGTCTGGAGTTCCCTAACTTTGACGGGAAGGACAGGGTGCTCGACATCAACGAGCGCAACTACAAAAAAGCTCTGAAGAGATACGACCTGCTGTGCCTGTTCTACCATGAACCTCTGCCGGCCAACAAAGGCCTGCAGAAGCGGTTCCAGATGACAGAGCTGGTGCTGGAGGTGAGACAAAGGGCCTCAGTGGAGTGGGGGAAAAGAGGGGTGGCGACGGGGAAAAAACATCAAGAATAGTGCTTGTATTTTCACTTTGTTGGGCTAACATCATTGAAAAAGGTAAAAACTCGAAAGATGAGCAATGTTAAATGGCTGGGATGAAATTTACGTGAAAACATGACAGATGTAGAGCCTTCTATTGGCATCAAAGCTGCATTCATAAAGTTTTGCAAGGCATATATCACTGGTGTATAATCCATCCTGCCAGAAGATGGAAATTTTGATTCCATTCGACTCATTTCAGCCTATTTTCTTATGCACCAACTCATAGCTAAAAAAATCCAGGTGAACAGTAAATTATACAACTTTGATTAAAATAAAATTAGGTACAATTCTTTAAATTTTCAGTCAAATCCACTATGTTTTCCATGCAATCCATTTGGTTTATAACTGCTCTATAACCATCGTCACAAGCCCTAACTAAAAGTTTTTTTTTTTTAAATATTGAATGACAAATGGAGCAAACTGTTTATTGATATTCAAAACTGTCAGTGGTTGGAGATTAATTTTCTTTCTGGCAGTTGCTTCTTTTGTTATTCATAATCATCCTGATAAAAAGCTCACTGGTACTGGTGTTCACAAGCCGAGCGGAGCAAAGAATGCGTTATGACACACAGACACCCGAAAGGTCTTATGCCACTTCTGACATAAGGATGTCTTATTGAGATGGAGCGGAAATCCCTCTAGGTTTCATTCTGTTGCACCAAGTTGTCATAACAAATCATTCTTCATTAACTGATCTCCCCCTCTAGCTGGGAGGGCAGATAGAGAGAGCTTCATTTCTCCTCTGTCTCATTAAGGTGTGGATTGTCTGCTTAACCACCAGATGAACAACTGTCAGCTTGATGAACTTGGTCTAAATTTTACCTGTGCTTGCAAGTGTCAAGCAGTGATTTTAATCTTATTATGTGCACTCCTCTGTGGCTCACATATACCAAGGGACTGTTTCTAGGCCATTCTGTTAATTATAGCCTGTTCCCAAATCTGTTTGACTTCTGTCTGTAACTCAAGCAAATCAGTTTGCACACCCTCATCCTAATTCAGGAAATGATATGACCCTTTTTCAACTATACACATCTTTGAGCATTTCTGGTATCTTGCAGACACTGTTCAAAAAAGTAGCAGGCAGTGGGCATTTTCACAATTTGTTTTTCCCTCTTTGCCAAATGAGATCTGAGAGGGAAAGCAGACCTGACTAACAGACTTCCCTCTAACAAGAATACCCCGCAGAAGCTGATCTTCACACAAACACCCACACACACCATGCTCAAGAAAAAAAAAATGTATATATAATGAAGTCAGCAGCCATGGTTGCCTTTCTCAAACACGCAGACCAATAACATGTAAGATAAGTGTAAAGTGATGTACCGGTACTTTTTTTTCCTCTTGATGCATCATGTTCGGCCTTCCTTATTTCCTTTATTCTCTGTGTCTTGACTCAGCTTCTGCCACACAGCATTTAAGGAGCATCTTCTGTCTTCTTTAGCTAAAGAGCATACAAACACAAGAAGTCACTCATTGGTCATATTTCTCTTGTTGTGAATCGACACCTAGCTTACAGCTCAAGTTCTGGAGAACAAAGACATCGGTTTCGGAATGGTGGATTCCCAGAAGGATGCCAAAGTGGCGAAAAAACTGGGTGAGACCTCTATGTCCTATCCATGATGCACGCCAACTGAAATAAGTTTTATACAATCTTAAATGGGTCATTTTATCCAAACAGGTCTGGAGGAGGTGGGCAGCCTGTACGTCTTCAAGGATGACCGCGTCATCGAGTTTGACGGGGAGCTTTCTGCCGACACGTTGGTTGAGTTTCTACTGGATGTAAGTGGAATAGGGTCAACTTTTTAGATCAGACATTAAAAAAAAAGAGAAGAGAGAGAAAAAAGTATGTCCTAAAGAACTAAAACAAAAAGCACATTTTGGATATGAGTACCCCTGAGGGACTTGCCACGATTTTGTGTTTTCATAATGATATTTTCCCTGTTAAGTAGTCCAAGTTAATGAGCCCTACACTGTGTAACAACAACTTAAAACTCACTCCGATTTTTTCCAGCACAGGAACTTTTAAATCGATTTGTTTTACCGAGTTGATCCGGCGTGAAGAATTCTCTACTTTCTATCATGACATCCCCTAGGTGCTGGAGGACCCAGTAGAGATAATCAATAACGCCATGGAGCTGCGAGCCTTTGAGAGAATGGAAGAGGACATCCGTCTCATTGGTTACTTCAAAGGAGAGGATTCATGTCAGTTCTTTTTGTCGGAACTTCTTGTGTAACACATTGACTACGTGTTTATTCTGATTTACACTGAGTGTGAGCACACCTACTCTGTCGCCTTTCCCTAAGGTCACCTCACCGTGCTTCTTAGGTCCTAATGGGATCTAAAGGCTAACAGAGCTTATAGTACATCGCCACAAAGCCTAACAGCCTGTTAAAAGAGAAACTGGGATTCCAGACGCTCTCACTCAGTCTCACGAGAGGCTTTTAATAGTCTCAAGCTCTCCATCTAATGGGTCAAACATCAATTATAGTTTCTCATATAAAAAGGGATAAAGCGAAGCAGGGAAGCTGCTATCTCGTCTGACATGACAGCGGCAGGAATTTTCCATCACGAGCCGCTCGTCTGTCCAGAGATAGGTTGGTCCTTGGTGGTGACCTTGTTGCTAGCAGAGCCGGGCACACATTACAAGCGTACAAAACTGTATTAAGAGACACTGGGTCACTATGATGAAGAGCAGGGGATTCACAACGCTGGGAAATTGAATGAGCAGAGGGGTTTTACCGCCCGCCTTCCACATCACATGCCACAGATCCGCCTTGTGTCTCAGACTGTGACCAGAATGTGAAATGGTTCTGCTCTGTTTTTCTTAGCTACTCAATTTCTGTTTCCTCAGACTACAAAGCATTTCAGGAGTCCTCCGAGCGGTTCCAACCTTACATCAAGTTTTTTGCTACCTTTGACAAATCTGTAAGTTTAAGAATGACCAAGTGAATTTACGTTTTTCTTTTTTGCAAAAGCAGCAATATCATTTTCCCCTTCTGTATATTCATTAGGATGTATGATGTTCATTTATTGTTAAGAATTTAGCAGCCGTTTGATGGCCATCCACCTTGATATTAAAACGACACCCTTGCCTGTTGCTTTGTTTCAGGTAGCCAAACATCTTTCCCTCAAGATGAATGAAGTGAATTTCTATGAGCCGTTCATGGAGGAGCCGGCCATCCTGCCCGGCAGACCTCTTTCGGAGATGGACATTGTCGAATTTGTCAATCAACACCGCAGGTTGCTTTGACTTCCTTTACTTTTTTCTAGAAAAAAAACTAAGGCCTCTCTGTGCATGGCATGCACTGGTTGATAATGTCCTCCCTACAGGGCGACTTTGAGGAAGCTCCGGGCAGAAAATATGTTTGAGACATGGGTGAGTATAGTTATTTATCTTATCAAAGCAGATAGAAATGGTTTCCCAAACCTTTCCTACACGACTACGTTTCCCTTTACCGGTTCTCCTGTGACTATCTTCCAACTCTAGGAGGATGATATGGATGGAATACATATTGTTGCCTTTGCTGAGGAGGAAGATCCAGGTCTGTATCACCATGCCAGAACTTTTTTTTTTTCCCCTACATGAAGATAAGACAATTTACGAATGCTTTGTCATCCCAAGACGGCTATGAATTCCTGGAGATCCTGAAGGACGTGGCCAGGGACAACACCAACAACCCAGAGCTGAGCATAGTTTGGATCGATCCCGATGACTTCCCCCTGGTTCTATGAACTAAAAACCTCTCAGTTTAGAAATACGACTCCAAGTAATAACTGATCTCCGTCTTACTTTCTCTATTTTTGTCCCTCCAGCTCACGACTTACTGGGAGAAAACCTTCAAGCTGGACTTGTTTCGCCCTCAGATCGGTGTGGTCAACGTCACAGATGTAAGTTTTATGGCCTTTTAACACGTGAAACACTACCAAAGGATGGATGGCCGTGGGTCATGACTTTAGGATGCGCTGTTTTCCAGGCCGACAGCGTTTGGCTGGACATGTCTAATGACGAGGACCTGCCCACTGCCGAGGAGCTGGAGGACTGGATTGAGGACGTCCTGTCGGGGAGGGTGAACACGGAAGATGACGACGAGGTGGCCGATGACTGGGAGAACGATCCCTACGTGACAGAAGACGACGATGAAAGTCACGAGCCGGAGGACGAAGACGACAGCGACGAATAAAAGTGTCAACAGTTGGAGGTCCAGCTGTATCGGAAATTAATTGAAACACAAATCTGAACAAGTAGGGAATGAGAGAAATGAATAAATCAAATTCTCTTTTTAGTCATTTGTAAAGACAAATACACACAAAAAAGGATTTTTTAAGTCTTTAAAAATCTAAATGCTTGTCGATTTATATGGTAGTTTTAAAAGATAGATGAAACAGATGTCGTCTCCATGGGTACATTTGTGGCTTACTTCAGTATCAAATTAACCCAACGCCTGAGGCTGTGATTCTAAACATCTCACCAAGGAAAATTATATTTTAAACTTCTTTTCAACCACTTTGAGGAATCATTTGAACAACAATACAGGTTTTTAAATAAAAAAGAAGCTAAAGTTGTATAAGTTATTAAGTTGTATAATTTCTTTGTTTAGTGCACACAGTAACAAACCTGCATTAAAAAGAATCAAATTAAAAAAACAAAACAAGGCCATGCCTTTTTTTTCCGTTTTGCTTGGTGAATACATACTCTCTCCTTCATTACGAAAGTCCTGACTGTTGGTGATCAAATTTCTCCCCCGTCAATGAGCATTTTCACCTTGAATTATTCAAAGGCTGGTAAATAATTCACTGACGTTTTGCCTTTTAATGCGGGCAGGGAGCTGGACGTTGAGGCAGAGGGAGCTGGGAGGTGAAGGATGCAGGGGGGGGGGCGGTCTCCATGGCGTCCCATCCACGCCACACTGCATTCGCATCAGACACGTTTCCTGCCGGCCCTTCCTGAATAAGTCAAACACGGGCTGCACGGTAATCTTCATCCCCCCGTGGAGTTGAATGCAGTGCAGTATGTCAACAGGATGTTTGCGTCACGGTGTGGGGGGGAAAAAGAAGAAACCGCTGAAATGTGTGAGTGTCTCAAACATGGCCCGAGGCGAGTAAACCTGCCACACTCTCCGGGGGGGGGAAAAAAGGGATCGACGGAGTCGTGGTGCAAAGTGTTGTGATGTTTTGCAGGGATTTTATGTAAGAGGATTCCTGTGCATGTCAGCTGTGATTAGGTTTTACATGAGCACCGACCACACGGGGGGGGCAGGCAGAAAGATGCCTCAGAAGAAACTAAAAGGATGATACCCCGACCACGTGGGCGTTCGGAGTTCAAGAGGGTCAATTCACAGCAGCAGAGAACAGAGAAGAGACAGGAGTGAGACGTTGATTTCTGCTCAAAACCGAGCATCCCCCCCCCCCCCCCCGGCTGCCGGAGGGCTTCCCACTCATGGCCCAATCTACACATAATCAAGTCATTGCGGACAAGATGGAGAAGGAGAAATGAAGAGAAGAAAGCATTCCATTTAGATGCAAATGCTGCTCATTTTCCCCTCCCGCTGCATCCTCTCCGTCCTGGTCCCGCCGCTGTGAGAAGCAGGGGCCGGAACGGGAGCGGGATTAGGCCGAGGACGGATGAGTTCAGATGAGTTCCGACAGGCAGCCTTTGCACCCCGGGCTCGAGAGGGGATGAGGTTGTTCCGTTTTGCAGCACCGGACGCGGACACCGACATTCATCTTAACCACGAGGCTTGCTCTTGACAGGCTGACGGCGAGCCAATTACAGCCATGTGAAGCCATGAGAAAAAAAACAGCCACCAAAAGGAGGCCTAAAAACCAGAAGAAAAAAAAGCAGCTGAGGAGTGGGGTCCCTGTGTCTCCTAGAGACAAGTTTTGATCAGGTGTGGACTTCTTCCACGAGTTGTTGCGTTTCATTTAGTTGGATTTGGAGAATTATAAAGGAGTCCTTACGAGGACCCAGACGGGAGCAGCTTAGCTTTCCATCCCTCTCAAACAGTCAAAAGTTTAGCATTACAGGTTCTTTCAGGTTGGAGTTGTTTGGAGGAACTTTTTGCCTTCCTAAAGAGAGCTCTGACTGCCACCTACTGAAACTAGAACAATGGTGCTCCATGAATACCCCTAACCTAGATAGAATGGACAGGCACTATCCACAGTCAGATTCTTCCTGTTCAGAACAAACGTTGGGAAATATGAGCCACTGCATTGCTCTCCCTAAGGGCACCACAGCTTTGGAGAGTAAAAGAAACAATGAGGGGTATTGAAAAACTTTATGACTGTTTAAAGTCCTCACTTTTTAGCTATTCTGCTAATGAAATAGGCCACCTTCCAGTTTTTGCAAAAATTAATTTTTTAGGTTCAAGTTTAAATTTAGGATATTTAGCATAATTTAACATGCCCTTAGGACTGGGCTCACACACACGTACAAACACACTTGTTGTTGTTTTTTTAGATAAATACACCTTTTTAGATATAGATACAGTGTAAAAAACATGAGGCATAGTCACATTGGGAACATACAAAGTTTATCCGTCGGAAGGTACAAAATGAACTTGAGTTCGACTGAGTCAGTTCTGCTGGCTGACCCAGACTAGCACATCTTTAACTTATTTTTCTCTTTTTTTAAACCAATATTTGAAAATGTTTTGGAAACCATAGCCATACACACACCACACACACACACATACATACACACACGAATATATATATACATACATACACACACATATGTATTTATATATATGTATATATAAAAAGGGAAAAAAAAAAAGTGCCCCCGTCTGTCAGTGAGACGTTTATCCAGCAGGGGGCAGTAGCAGACATCCTTAGTGTGACACTTCTCTGTTCGCTCAGTGACTCTTGACTCCTTGCTGAGTTACTACATCCACTGGGACAGGCTCAGAGGGACCGTAGCGTGTCATCTTTTTTCTTTTTTTTTAGCTTATTTTAAGAGTGCATCTCTGATTGTCTCAGGTGGGCTTATTTGTCGCGTGAATTGAGCTATCCGTGCGGGGACTGACCCTCGAGGGGTTGTGCTTACCAGACAGCAGAGGTGAGACGAGACAGCAAAGGAAAAACCAGACAGTCCAGTTGGAAAGGAGGCTCCACCCACTGCGGCTCTCTTTGTTGATGCCACTCCGTTGGCTCATTATCACACATAATGAATACTCATAAACCCCGCAGACCCAGAGAGATGGCACCATGCCTAAACTAGTTAACCTCTCCTGTCCCTCTGAAAGTTTCCCCTCATTTGCTGTGTTAAGACGTTGGGTATATTTTTCCCTTCAACGCAATCAACACTTTCTGTAGAGTTACAGGATTTATGGACTAAAAAATAAAATAAAAAGGTGCAGTGACATTGCACGGGCGGCTTGAAAATTGTCAGTGTTTGCACACAGAATAACAGGCTTATGATTCACGTGAGTTTACTGCTACAGAAAGCATATCAGTAGTATTCTTTTCTTAAATTATTCTTTTCTTTTTTGACGCGTCAGACACAAAAGCCCTGAGAAAAATACAGAACCGATGGGGAGGGGCAAACCTTTCTCGGTCCAGCCTGGTGTTTCCCAGCTGGAAGAGGACAGGCTTAGGATCCAGCTCTAAAAAGTCAGACTTTTGGAAAAAATTTTGGCTCCAATGCATCTGGACTAAATCCAACCCACCATGACATGTCCCCGCCTCTGCGGGGATCAGAAGGAGCGTTGGCGACAACTTAAAGGAGGGTCGAGCGGGTCCAGGTGAAACATTCCCAGGTTTTCGGACTTTCTCTTTTTAATTTTTGGGGGAACATCAGGTTTCCAGTCTCCAGCTGCGCTGCACCTTCCCGGCTTGTAGTGGTTTGTCTGTGCTGGTGGGCGCGCGTCCTGTGGAGATCCTCTCCGCCATGGGAATGTCAGAAACCTCCGAACAGCTCTGCTTTCAGACTTGTTTGGCTTCAAAATCTCAAACGCAACTTGACACTATTGATTGTGTTGACACGGACAGAACAGTCACACGCACACACATTCACACGCACACGCCTGCGCACGCACATTCACACACACACGATATGTGCACACAACCACATCGGATGCTCCGAAGCCCCACAGGCAAAATCCAAAGTCATTTCTTCTCTTTTTCGTTTGTGTCGAACACTTAAAGGTCTACACGTTTGTGTGATATAGAGATTCTTATACAATATATGTAAAAACATTTGAAAAAGTACAAATAAAGACTTCAAAACCTAAAGTGGAAAAATTTTGAGAGCAACGCAACATGGTGAGGAATAAAAAAAAACAAAAAAAACAATAAAAACTGTCCCCCTACACAGACGTTTCCGACTGTAGCCGCAGGACAAACTTGTGAGATTTGGGGTCGATGTACTCCTCGGACATCTGGATGTAGGGGATCTTCTTGGACGTCACCACCAGAGTGAAGTCCACACATTTGAGCAGGAAGACGGATCCGTCCTTCAGGCCGCTGTTGACCGACGCCTCGCTGATCAGGGTCCACTGGCGGGCCAGCCAGTGGTCCCGGCTGTACTGCAGGGTGGGGCCCGGGCTCAGGTAGCTCTCCAGGAAGGCCTGAATG